CTGTATACAGATGTAATGAAAAGGGCACAGATTTACATCAGATCCTCTGGGACTGGAATAATCTGAAGAAGTAATGGGACTCAATATTCCTACAATTTAGTAAATTATTCCAGAAAAAAACAATGAAAAATGAATAATACCACTTTATTTAAAAAGAACTTAAAAACAGCAGTTTTTAAGTAATGAGTGACCCAAGTGTTGTTTTGCTGGGGGACACATACAGTATTATATGATTTAAACCATTATCAATAGAAGTTAGCTCTTCTTGCAATGGCAGCAGCAAAAAAATTGTTTACTGATGATCTGGAAGAACCCAGAACACCTGACACAGGAACACTGGAATGAGTTATCATATTGTCCATATGGAAAATTATTAGCCAAAGGCAAACCAGAGTTTTAAAATTAAAAAAAATTATCTGGGACATCATTATAATTAGAGTATACCAGAGATGAACACGTTTTTTTTTTGTTCTCACCATCTTGATTCTCCTTCTTGCTTTTTCTGCCTCCCTTCTTCTTCCTTTGGTTGAGAACAAACCGGGCCTCGGCTGCCTGCTGCAAGCGTGTCATGAACTTCTCAACGTCTTCAAAGCAGTGGTTCAAGATTTCCTGCCAAAGTTGTCAAAATATAGACATGTTTGTCATTTAAACCAACAATCTGCATTCATATTATACAATTTAATGCCAGAAATCATGACAAAATTAAAACTAATTACAATGAGCAATCCAACTGTTTGATTGTCTTATGTAGATTGTAGAGTTTAAGTGACAAAATGTCAAATGAACCATTGTTTTGTTGAGCTTTTTCCACAGAAAAACAAGTATTTACTGTAAATTACACAAGTACTCACAACTTCTCGGTCGGCGTTCTGTTGAGATGTGTGATTTGACTCCCCACTGGCACCGTTCACTACGGCACAAACAACCTCATTGATACGCTGATAAAACGTGTTGTTTTTATTGTAAAACAATAAAATTACAGATGTTGTCATTGGATACCTTTGCTGGCGTCTGTGTTGTTGCTCAGGCCTCCGGGAGGGGTCTGGTCTCGAGATGTGATCATTACTCGAACACCTGGAGGTTTCCTGTGGATGACTTGAGGAGGTGATGCCGACATCGCTCAAATCTGGATGCAAACGGAACAAAAATGAGCTTCTGGTGAACAGGACGCACTGGATGTACCTGTGCAACAACTCTAGAAAAGGTAACCCCTGCCAAGTCCTAGTCTGCCCACAGCAGAGTATTGTGATGCTGTTGGATCCCACCGCCTGTTTCAGGAACACGAACTTTAATATCCCGGTCTCCTCGCTGGTTTCAGTGTTGCAAGCTCATCAAAACTTCTTGAAGCTTGACCTGAAATGTCCTGAAAGTGTCTAACCAACCTCCTGAAAACTGTATCTGTTAGCATGAAAACAACAACATGACCCAACAAATGTGAGCTGATTTGTTGAGTTGATCATGTTTGTGCAAAACATTCAAACTCGTTTCTCTTGAAAAGAAAAAAGTGAATCTAAAAATGTCCGTTTGTATGATTTTCCAGCTGTCTTATATTAAAATAGCCTGAATTCATTGTGTAAATGCTGAGTCAGCATTAGCACTAGTTTTCCTGTTTCTATTTTTCCATTATGTTTTTTTGCAAAGCAACTAATTCTTGATATTTTGTGCTATTTTAGCCTCATACATTAAAACTTTCATCTCATTCAGGAGACAGGTGCTATGACTTATGATAACAACAAAGTCCATGCTCAATAATCCAGGTATATAATCCAACATTTTTCAGTCAGGTCATCTGGACAGTTTCTTTTTATGATTTGTTTGTAATCAACTTTATGTACAAATGCTTTCCTATTAGAAATACATTGAGATTGCTCCAGTTTCTTCAGAATTGTTCTTTTTTTCTTAAACTTGGTTTAACACGCTTTCTCTATTTCTGCTACTTGTAGTCTTTTGTTGCTAGCTTTTTGCAGATGAGGAGGATGGCTTGCTGTGGTGACCCCTGAAGAGGGACAAGCCGAAAGAAGAAAAAGAAACGAAGAACTAGCTTTTTGCAACTTTTAGCTAGTGTTCTGTTTCTTTTATCTTTAACAACTCACTTTCATCTTCCCTAGAAAATATGAGCAGTCATTCTGCGCTCATAGCATTTTCACAAAAAATGCAAAATTTCTATAGGCATGACTTCCACTGACCTTAAATTTTTTTTAAACAGATTTTTGATTGGTGTGAGTTTAAAAAAAAAAAAAGGAATTTGAGTGCTTTCAACTACCTGAAAATGTCTGAATTTAATGTTATTACTGTCAATAAAAATATTCATATTGCAACTTTCCAAACATTTGAAATGTGGTTATTTTACGTGCTCACGTGTAAATAAAAGACAGATTCAGGAAAATCTTCTGTCAGCTGGTATCATGCAGACAGATAACTCAGTTTGTTTGAGGATTGACTGAACAGAAAATAAACTTGTTCATCTTTTTTGTTTGTGTTCCTTCCTTAGAGTGATAACAAGGTGAAACATGCAGAAATCTTTTTCTGTAAAACTACATTTTATGATGCACACGGATAGAAACCTTAATGCAATGACAAATACACATTTTAATGTCACAAGATGGATTCCAGCACAGACATAAAGCTGTAAAATATTTCTAAAATGCATGACAGCTGTCAGTCATCTGACAGCCATGTTTTTATCTTTCTTCCCCTCTGTTTCAGTCAAATTCATACTGAAGCACATACTTAACTCAAGAAAGTAGGAATTTATCACTGTACCTTTCAGTGGCGTTTGAGCGTTAAAATCCGACACACACCGATCCTCCTGCTGACTGAGTTTTGGCTGTTTACAACACCCGAAGGACGCTGTTCCTTCTTGATGTGCCAAAACAAGAAAAACAAGTTTGCCTTCCCTCTTGCTGTCAATCTTGGGCTGCTTTCATTCTGATTCTGATGCACACACACAGGTTTGTTTTGGTATCTTTATGGGGACTTTGGATCGACTTCCATTCATTTTTTTATTAATTTCCATAACATAACCCTGACCCTTATCCTAAACTTAACCATTACCAATACACAATTAACCCTAAACCTAACCCATCTTCAATTCACACCATAGTCCTAAATCTAACCCCTAACCCACCAACGACACTTGAATCTTATGGGGACTGGGCCTTGGTCCCCACAAAGAGCCTCATAATGTCCTCATAATGTTTGTAGTATGTATGTGTTCAAATATGGTCCTCACAAAGTCACATAAACAAGCACACACACACACACACACACACACACACCCTCCCTCCAAGTCTTTCTCTGTATTATTGTCTTTCTTCTTCCTTATAACAAGCATTTCTTGTGCCATAAGGTCAGAGGAAAGTGCAACAGAAGCCATTCCCCACCCACACAATTACTTTAGGTTTCATTTAAAAGTATGTGACTGAACTCAAAACCCGAAGCATGTTGGGAGGTGAAACTTGCCAGTAAAAAGTATAAACTGCTGGTCTTTTGGAAGGGTTAGATTTAGGACTATGGTGTGAATTGAAGATGGGTTAGGGTTATGGCTTTATTGGAGTCAGTAATGTCAACCTAGTGATCAGATTCAATAAATACACTATAAAAACTCTCTTTCTTGCAGCCAATTTGTTTTTATTTTCCGTTTTGCTAAACCCTTTAATTAGCTGAGAAAAATCAGAGCAAATATTTTAATGATGTGTCATCATCAGTTGTTGAAGGAATCTTGTCCTGATACTGCATGCTGGGACGAAACAAGATTTCTTGCTTTTCAAGAAACCAAAACAACGGCTTGTGTCATCCACACTGGATGGGTCTTCGCAGTTTCAGGATATTGTTGATGGTTTAAGACCAGATTATTGAAGGACAGTCGATAATATGATCCCGAGTGGAGTCTCCCTATTAACTCAATAAAAGGACAGTAAAGCAGATTTTTAAACAGGTTGTTGTTTAGCTGGTGAGTGGTGACACCAACTGGTCATTTGGGCCATCTGACCCTGCAGCTTTCTTACAGCATAAACTACTGGACAAACTCCAAATGTCGCTGGTGTTTTAAGCAAACTGTGCACATGCATTAATTTACATGCTCAAAGCAGATTGCTCCTGAAAGCTCATCAGAACAAAAACATGTCCTGTTTCGATTTGCATAACACTTGTGGAAAAACTGCTGAAACCTCTAAGTTTCAGATCAACCCGTTTTGCTGAATTATTTTTGATGCATGCTAAAAAAATACTTGTAAAGCCAATAATCTCCACCTATCAGTTTTCGATTAACTTGAATTACAGGATGAGTGATGTTTTATTAACTGTGAGAGCAACAAAAACTAGAAACACTTCCTGAAGAAATGTTGTTGATAACTGCCACTTGATATATTTATCCCTTCGTCCTCAAAGTATTATTATATATTATTATTGTTATATTATTATATATTTGAGATTACTATCATCTACTACACAAAATGTCAGCTCTGTATCTTCAAAAGTGACAAAGCTTGATTAGCTACGACAGTCATCTTGTATCAAGTTGACTCCAAAACAATCTTTTGCAGACAAATATATTTAACAAGTAATTACATGCTGAGATTTTATTAAAATTCCTCCAGTGGTGCAAGAAATATTTTGCAAATGGACAGAAACATACAAAGCTCTCAACAACCTAGCTCCGTCTTATGTAACAAATCTTATTGTTCCATACTTTCCTAACAAAGCACTTCACTCAGACTGCAGGTTTACTTGTGGTTCCTAGAGTTTCCAAATGTAGAACGGGAGGCTCCTCTCTTGTGGAACAAACTTCCAGTTTCTGGCTGTGAGGCTGACACATTGTTTACGTTTAAGATTAGGCTTAAGTCTTTCCTTTTTGATAAATCCTATAGTTAGGGTTGAATTTCCTCGGTTATTCCTTAGTAATGTTCCTATAGGTTAAGACTGTTGGAGGACAAATTGACCACATTTACTCACATTTCCTTTACTTGCTCTACTCTACCTGTTTGTATATATCAGGTCTCTCTTGTAAATGAGTCCTCGAGGATCAATGGGATTTACCTGTCTAAATAAAGGTTGAATGAATTAATGAATTTGTACTTATTTCTATCCTTAACATGTGTTTTTTGTCTTTCTTCCTATAGAAAGTTTACCTGGACCTGTCATTCTGTGTTTATTTGTTCCTCCTTTGTGTTCTCTCAAACCCCAGCCAGTCGAAGCAGGAGCCCGCTCGTCCTGAACCTGGTTCTGCTGGAGGTTTCTTCCTGTTAAAAGGGAGTTTTTTCTTTCCACTGTTGCCTTTGTGCTTGCGCAGGATGGGACACTGCGATGAAGTGAAGATTCAACACAATCTGCTGGTTTCCTTAGATAAGTTTTACTAATTGGCTGTTATAACGAATGTGAATGTTTTTGTACAGTGCTCCGAGACAAATTCTGTTGTGACTAATTTGCTATATAAATAAACTGAATGGAAACAGCTGACTGATATTATGATGTTATTTGCAGCTTTAAGCATAGTTGATTACAGTGATCTGGACTAGAGGTGAATAACGTTATGTGCCTCCACTGAAATGCATTGGCAGCAATGTGCTGCTTTATTTTCTATGCATGTTACCAATAATTAAATAAAATACAGAACTGCTTATTTAGTTGGAAGGCAATCTTTATAGATCATGAAATAAATAACACTTTTAATAATTTCCTTGTAATAACTGAACAGGAATAGACAGAAGTTTGTGAAGATTAGTAACATTAAACCAAACAACACAAAATACATTTTAAAAGCTTCAGACTGAGTTTGCAAAAACTGTTTGTCAATAAGATTTTATTTTAATCCAAAAAATGTGCTTTTGGATGAGGAAATTAAAGTAAAACACTCTTGGAATGCCATATATAGGAAGTTAATACATGGGATAAGGATCCACACAGACCAATCAGTGAGACAAAGCAAATCAAACAAAAACATAAAATAAACGTGAATATTTAGGGCCAGTAAAACAGGTGAAGTCACGTGTCATCACATGAAACTCAGCAGAGTCATGAGGAAAAGTAATATAGCAACTGAGTAGATCATTTCAAACACAAGCGGGGGAGGGGCTCAATCTGAAAACAAAATGATCAACTTCAGACAAAACAGATCAAACTAATGCTAAAAGTTGACTTATGATGTTAAAAATGGGTTAATGTCAAAACTTTCTGGTCAAATGAAAAGAAATGTGATCAAACTCCATAATCTACAACCTTCCTTCACTGCCAGGAGAACGTGGAACAGCCCAATCAAACAATTACAGTACCTCCCATAGGCACTCCTACTGAAGCTGGCTCTTTCCACTCCAGGAAACTTCAGCTGTCACTTCCAAGAAAAGGACTGCTCAGTAAAATGTTCAGCTTCATGCAAATGACCAAAACACAAAAGTGTAGCAAAACTGCAAAAGAGCTATTTTTACTCAACTATACTGCCAAAGGCACTTTCATGCAGTTAAACACGGTGGAGGTAACATCATGCTATGGGAATGATTTTCTAAATATGAAAAATTACGCTTGCCAAGACATTTGAAATGAAAGAATGCCGCACTGAGTCATAAACTTTAAATCTTAATAATTAATTACAGCAGCGGTGAAATAACCTGAATTGTTGTTTCTCAACTTATAGTGTGGCTGTACCGTCTGGAGTTGTTTACACGCAAACACAAAGTAAAACATCAGAATCTTCCTTATTTGTGGGTGTTGTCACCAAAGTGTTACAGCTTCTTATTTCAACAATGGTTTTGACAGTTCAACACCTCATTACCTTTGAGCCATGGGAAAATATAGTCAAACCACACCCGTCACTCATTGTTTTAAATAACATTCCTCCCAGTCAAAATGTCATTCCTTTTAGTCAGATTACTAAACAGGTGGTTGTCTTGACGTTCAGTGGCTACATATATTCATAATTCAGTTCTTTCTTGATGAAAAGAACATTTCAAATTTCCAGAAAGGCTTTCTGTCCCACCCATAAACACTCCTATAGTTTTAAGTCATAACTCTCTTTTGCCTGGCTTTTGTTAAAAAGTTAACAAATATCCAAAATATCAGTTTAGGCCTTTGTAATCACATTGTTGCTGATCATTATTCTAAATGTCTTTTTTAAGCTGTCATGATATATAAGTGGACAGTGGATGTCTCTGATGACCAAAGTATGGGTATGAACTATGGATAATGACCAAAAAAAAAAAATGAGATCAAGAAAAGAACAGTAGAATGGTTGCATTTACCCTTTAGACGAGGAGCTCGGCTGTTCTGAAGAAGCACAGAGTAGAGTTGCTGCTCCTTGTTACGTATGTTTCTCTGTGTCAGCTTTTTGTGAAATGAGTCTCTGCTTAATTGATGTCTTCTCTTCTTAGCTGTGATTGGCTCATGGGACTTTAAAAGGAGCTCCTGGCTGAGATCAAACTCCCAGCTACACTACTGATTTCTACAATGGCTTGACATATTAAATATAGGAGGCGCCCTCGTGTGGCATTAAAAGATACTACAATAGTAATCTACATTCTGACTCTTTTCATTCATTCAACCTTTATTTAAACAGGTTAGTCACATTGAGCCAGGGGGACTCATTTACGAGAGAGACCTGTACCTGGACTCTTACAGTGGGTGTGATCCTTAATGATGCTGCATGCTTTGCACAGACATCGGCTGTGGTCGATGTCCTGGATGGTGTGGAGACTGCTACCAGTGGTGTCCTCTGCTGTTTGCAACATCCTCTGTACTTTAAAGCAGGATGGGAAGATTTGCTGATGATGGGGCTTTAAGAGGGAGGGAAAAATCTAAAGTTTATTATTAAAAAGGTGCAGAAACTAACTAAGACTGTTGGAAAGTGGTCAACTAAATGGAGATTTAAATGTTCAGTAGAAAAGAAGAAAGTAGGTTTTTTTTTTTTATTAACAAGCAAAAAGGTAATTAATTAGATGGAACTTGGGTTGTATGAACAAGTAGTTGAAAGAACAAAACAATTAAAATTTCTTGGTATCTGGTTTGAGAGAATAACATGGGCGGTGCATATCCAAAAAATTACTGTTAAATGTAAAGAAATAATAAACATCATGAGGTGTTTAACAGGAAGTGACTGGGGAGCAGACAGGAAGTCACTGAGGACAGGATTACTCTGAGCAATACTAAACTATGGAAGTTTCTAACTCAGTTTCTGAGGAAAATTTAGAAAATTAGAAAAATTACATTTAGAAAAATTAGGCATTAGGCATTAATAATTATGACGGGTGCATTTAAAACAACGCACACAGGAGCAATATTAGTAGAAATGGGAGAACCACCATCAAACATCAGAATCGGTTCGCTTTAAACTACTGGGTAAATCTAAAAGATCAAGAACAGAAACATCCAAAACAAGAAATATTTAAATCATGTGGAAAAAAAAAACAACATACAAAAGCTTTGATTGGATCATAAATCAGAAAACTACAGACATTCAGATCAATTAAATTAATGTCAGACAAACAATACCACTCATGGATCTTTACAGAGCCAATACAGTGTTGCTCACACCCCTCATGCACCATTTGGAGCAACAATGCAACATCATGAAACACAGCAGGGGCATAGGTCATTGCTTTAGTTCATTTAGTGATTATTTTGAGACGGTGTGGGTCATTCAGATCCTTGAATTCATTAAAAAAAAACATAAGGATAAAGAACTGAATGTCTTTTCATTTTGACAAGTTGATGTTTTAGAGTGATGGACTTGTGACCTGTCCAGGGTGTATCCCGCCCCTCGCACAGTGATTGCCGGACATAGGCACCGGTGACCTCCTTGACCCAAAATGGAAGAAGTGGGTAAAAGATAATGGATGGATGGATGTTTTAGAGAAAAAAATCATATTTTAAGTTACAATGCAGCTTGTTAAAGAATGTCAAAGCCATTGTCAGAGAGTCAGAGTCAGAGAGATTTATTTGTCATTTGCATCTCGTGGTACATTTGGTGGAATTAAATTATGTACACAGGGTCACAGTTACATCCAACAATAAAATGTAAAAAAAAAAAAAAAACAATAATAAGATTTAAGATATGAACTAAGAAAAACATCAGGTAAATATTGCACTAAGCACTAATGGCATAAACATCACATTGAACAGCAGCACCAACGAGTCTGTGTGAGCAGATGAGCACGCATGAACACAGCAACATTGAAACAGATCAGCAGCAACATGAAACAGATCAGCAGCAACATTGAAACAGATCAGCAGCAACATGAAACAGATCAGCAGCAACATGATGTGATTTTTCACAGTGATTATTCTGGTTAGAGATTCATGAGTCTAACAGCCTCAGGGTAGAAGCTGTTCCTCAGTCTAATGGTTCTACACTTAATGCTCCTCAACCTCCTTCCTGAGGGGAGTGGGGCAAAAAGTGTGTGTGCTGGGTGAGTGGGGTCCTTCATGATGCAGGTGTCCCTCTTCCTGCATCTGGAGGTGTAGATGTCTGTGATGGTGGGGAGACTGACTCCAACAGACTTCTGTGCAGCCTTCACCACTCTCTGCAGAGCTTTTCTTTCTGCAGCTGTGCAGCCTCCATGCCACACGTTGATGCTGGAGCACAGGATGAAACACCTCATGGTGCGGACTGAGCTTTAACAGTTAGGGATTTGTGAGTCTAACAGCCTCAGTGTAGAAGCTGTTCCTCAGTCTAGTGGTTCTACTACTACTTTTTAAGTTTTACTTTGCTTTATTTATCATTTTTGCTGGAACAGTTGTAATGATGGCTGTATTTTCTCACAGCCTCGGCCAGCAGCTTCTCAGCAGAGCAGCCACATTTCATAAATGAACACAATGCTTTCAGCATACCACAGTAAGATCTAGTTCTGACTGTGGGCATAGCACAAGAAGATGTCTCAGAATGGGGTGTGAGTATAAAAATATGCAATTTTTATCATGTACCTACATCAACCACACAAGATATTTGTACTTTGCATGGACTATAAACTACGCTTAAAGTTCATTAGGTTGGAATTTAGGTTTTTTGTTTTTTTTTCTTTTAGAACTGAAAAGGTGTTTTGAAACTGTTACCATAAATTGCTTTTATAGCTTTAACAGCCGTTCTTAAACAAATAAACCAGGGTCACCAGCACGGTCCCTGCGGGCACCCGGTCACCCACAGGGACCACATGAGTTGCTCACAGGGCATGTTCAAAAGATAACATTAGCCATCAAGGAGCACCACCTAAAAATGTAATTAATTCAATGTTTTTAAATTAAAGTAACAACGTTTGAACGGATGTAGATTTGACATTAAAATAATTAATAAAACATCCTAACAGCTGACGGCAGCAAACAGCAAATCTTTACAAGACATTTTCACAAGTGGAGGTCTTGAAAGAAGCGATGATGAATAATGTGAAGAAAAATAATCTTGTTTCGGCTGCTCCCTGCGTCGGGGATCGCCACAGTGAATTAAGTCGCACCAAGACTGGGGAATTATTTTTACACCGGATGTCCTTCCTGACGCAACCACAGACCACCGAGCTACCACAGCCCTCTGTGTGGAGCAGAGAGCTGCTGTCTAGGGCACCCGAAGGAGCAGATGGTGAGGGTTCAGGGCCTTGCTCATTAAACTGTTAATTGTTTCTTTAAAAATGTTACAGAAGTTGTTGTTCAATAAAAAATATATATATTTTAAATAAAATGTTGCAAATGTGTTAATTACTACATAACGGACACACTCGGGGGAGTGGTGGTGCAGAGGTTAGAGAAGATGGGCCTGTGATCGGAAAGTCGCAGGTTCAACTCCCCGAACTGACAACATCAAAATATTGGTGGAAAAGGTGAAAAACCCACACCTGCCTCCACCCTCATTTGCCCCACTCTGGGCCCCTGAGCAAGGCCCTTAAGCCCCACCATCTGTTCCCAAACACAGGTTTCTCTTGAAAATGGGTTCTCGTGACTCAATGAGACAACCTGGATTATTAAAGGGTAAATAAATAAAATAAAATAAAAGTCAATAAATATATTCATAAAACACACTGAACCTAAAATAGTATAACTGATAGAGATTAACATAAAATAGACAATGTTTTATGTTTAAATATGTTTCCTGCCGCAGTAACCCATCCATTCATCTGTGTTCCAAATCAGGGTTGAGGTAGAGGACGGAGCCTATTTCAGCTGTCTCTGGGAGGAGACAGGGGACACCCTGAACAGGCCTCCAGTCCTTCACAGGGACACAGACAAAGAGACAAACTATCCACTCTCTCAGTCACACCTAGGGACAATTTAGAGACGAGCCCCAAAAGGGATCCAAACTGAGATCTCTCTGTGCAGCAGCAGAGATCAGCACTGCTGTCCCACAGACACAGTTCTAACCACCAATGATCAATAATGATTTATTTAGTCTGCCATGGCAAACCATTACTGATAATTATTGTTAAGTCTTTGACATTAAGATGTGAACAGGCAGCCATATATTCACATATACTGCATGTAAATTTATTATTAATAATTCTATAATTAAAAGTGAGCCGTGTAAATTGATGTTTGTATGAAACAACTAGCCCACTGAAGTGTCAAAACGTTGGTGACCTCTGAAATAAACTTTATGTTTTTTTCAATACAAGTTTTTTTTTTTTACTCCAATAAGTAACAAATAGAACAGACTACATGGTAAGTGTATAAGTACAAAATACTGCCTGCCCTGCTAACTATGAAAAGGTAGCCACTAATAATATGTGAACAATGTGACTGATTCTAACTATTAAATGATACATGGGCTTGCCATAACTTACCCCCAGTTGACACCATGGACCACATGTGTAAGAATCTGTTTAATCTCAACTGTAGTTTGCTGCTAAAGGTGCAGGTAAATCATGTGGTCTGTAAGAGGAACAAGAAGCACGAAGCAGAGAAGCTGTAGTTCACAGTCAAACGCAGAGCGGCCATGTGTTCCCCTGCCCCTCACCCTTCTTTTTTTGTATCAGGGTAGTTCATCCCCCTCTCTCTCATTGGCTCAGCTGCTCTCAGGACCTCTCCTTCTTTCCTTGTGGTTTGTTCCAGCTCAAGTTAAAAAGTACACTAAAGTTGTCAGAGCTGCCAGATGGAGCAACGGGTGTCCTTTAGTCAGCTATATTAAACCAGAAACTACAAATTTACATAAAAAAAGGAGCAGTTTAATTCTGTTAGGACAAGCAGGGAAACCAACACCAGCAGCAGGACTCCTGGAAACTTTACTCCTCTGGGACAGACATGGTATGTCCACAACACTGCCTTGTTTTGCCTTTACACCATTAATGTGGCTCTAAAGCCATGACGGGTACTTCTTCTTGCAAGACTCACTCAGCTTCTTTTCTTTGTTGTTAATCTAACATTAGTAACAAGGCTTGTGTAGTTATCTGATCTGAGTTCTGTACAACTGTGCAACATTTCAGATCATTTTGCTTAATATACAGTTTGCAGATCCACTCTGAGCTGCAGAGACTTTCTGCAGACAGCAAGTCAAACACAGGAAGTCACTGTCAAGCCTTGTATTACTTTTTTAAGCCTTCTTTGCAGCATTAATAAACCTAAACATGAAATTTGCTCAAGTTGGCCTGTTTTTTTTTGGTTTTTTTGTCAACCTAGATTCATCTACTGTGTGAAAACAAATGACTTTCATCCTTATGCATTGATCAGATGTGGATGTGATGAACTGTCTCAAATGAAAACCAAAGCTTAAACTTTATTTTAAATAAGCTTTAATACAGCCATGCGTGTTAACTGCTTTCCTTTGTTTTAACGCGTGTTAGTGCGTTAAGATATTTTTCCATGAGCGGTTTGTGTGAACGTGTTCATGACAGACAGCTGTATTAAGCAATGTTTAGCACCTGAGGGTACTATGTACATACGGCATACAGTCTATAACATGCCCATGAAGTTGTTGGTTGCTCCTTATCTCTTTAAAAAAGGTGGACAAACCTGAGTCATGAACTTAGCACTTCAGTTCTGCTCTATGACATCATTATACAGATTATACTGCAGGTTCATTATTATTCTGCAGCATCTTAAAGACGGTTCTTTGTTAGCGTCCTTGCAGTTCAGGAATGTATATTTAGTATACATTAGTATTAGATTGTAATCACTAACAAGATGATTCAACATGTTTCTGTTTAAGTGACACTGCAGATTATTTAGCTGTTGACTTTAAAGAATGTTAAATATATACAGTATAGCCAAGTGGCGGATCACCTGATAAGCCTGTTTGTTTTACTCCTGCCCCAGGAGAGATAGCTATACGTCCAGAGTCAGCAGAGAAACTTCATCTGGGAAAACATCACTTGTACAGCTTTTAAAACATGAAGCTGACTTGTGCGTGTGAACTAGGTGCTTTTATTTTAACAATTTGTGGAGGACTGGAAAATCACCTAACCTTGACATTAAGATGTTCAGCCAAACTTTGTAGAAACACAAAACACTTTAGAAGTAATTATACACTACCGTATTTTTCAAACTATAAGGTGCACTTAAAATCCTACAATTTTCTCAAAAATCGACAGCGAGCCTTATGTATTAATTTTGGTTGTATTTAGTGACCTCAAACCGATTTAATGTGGTACACGGCACTCAAAAATCTGTCAAAATGAACTTATTTTGCTTAATGCGCCTTATAGTCTGAAAAATACGGTATTAGGAAAATAAATGGGGACTTGTTGCTTCCTTATGAGCTCTAGGGACTCACACAGGGCAGAGCAGTAGCCCAAAGCTGAAAAGTTTTTAGGTGAAATTACATTTAATCTCCTACAAAAAATACAAGTATAACAAGGTCTTTGTGGCGTCAATGTACACGGAAAGTATCTGAGGTCAAAATAGAAGTGTGAAACAAGAAAAAGGTATTTTAGCTTTTATTTACAGGCATTTACTCCTGGATTGTTTAACTAATATGACGGAGCAACAAAACAACTAGTTTTTAGTTGGGTAGACGTTCTTTGTAAGATTTCTGGTTCACGATTTGCTGACAGACTGAGTGACGCCAACAGTTAATGGCAAAGTTTTAAGCAAAGATCTAGTGTACAGGTAGCACTCGAGGTTTGTGTTTGTGGATGACTTTCAGCTATACCATACCAGATTTTAGCTCGATGTCTGTAAAAGTGTAGCCATTTTTGTGCTTGCTAAAGTTGATTAGCTGTGATGGCCATCTTGAATGCTAATCAGTTGGGAGCTTAAAAAAAATTTAATCCAGGATGTCTTACGTTTTTTGCTTCCAGACAATTGAACACGTACTTAAACACACAAATACAGGCAATTACATGATCATCGGCTGTTTGCGGCAGTGGGAGATAAATATTATTGACCTTAATGTAACACTCAAATATATTTTTACGTACAATAAAACATATATATATATATATATATATATATATTTTTTAAAACAGCCTTGATGTTGTTTGTATGTGCTTCTCTGATGGACTTCGTTCTTTATATTTGAGTTTAACGTATAATTTTTTTCTGTCAGTAGTTTTCTGTGCTCATGATGAGCTCCAGTCTAATCAAATCTTTAAACTCGGTCAGTTTTCTTTAAAAAGAAAGAAAAAAAAACCACGTCTGCCTCTATAAATAAAAAAGTAAAGTTTCACTAATTTTAGATCAACAGGTTGGACCTTTACGAGCAGAACGCTGGTTGCTTGTTCTCCAACTACACCCACTGACCAACAGCAAAAATACACAGCTGTGTGTGTGTGGGGTGTGTGTGTGTAGGGGGGGCTGACTCATGGCGAAAAAAGATAATTTAAGATTAGCCAAAGCAACGAAGGAACAAAAATATGCCGAAGAGTCACTATTAAAGAGAAAAGATGATTAAACTTTAACGTCACGTCATTAAAAAAAAGCAAAATGAGACACAAACGCTTTTTAAAATCAACTTACAAATGTAAATATATTGAGTCGTAGAGCAACAAACAAACAGATTATAATATTTTTCTTCCTGAAATGTATAGCATCAAGATATACATTTCTATACTAATTTATTTTTAAGTTTTTATATTAATTAATGGGGCTACTTGAACCCACAGCTAGACTAAAAACACTTAGGTTTTGCTAACATGCATTTATTTAGTCTGCATAATGTAAAATCACCTCTTCAAACATTTAAATTGTTTCTGTACATACGTCAATAAACCTGTTTCAGATAACTTTTTAAATAATCTCAGTTTGGTTTAACTTAATTTAATTTGGATTAAACTGCTAATCCAACAGCTTGTCCAGATGGGCTCAGGAACAAAGTGGATTGCTGCTGTTTTAAAACAAACACAAACAAAACTCAACCAGTTCAGGCAAACAGGATTAAAAAAAAAAAAACTTTACGCCCCATCAGTTTTTTGTTTTATGGTTTTCTATCAGAAATATGATTTTCCAGACAAAATGCACTGGAAGTGCTACAGCTAGCTGCTGCAAATTAAGGTTACATTTCTACCAGAGTCAGAAATTAGCTAAAGATGAACCAGTATTGTACTCATTTATAAATATTGTAATTGTTGTAACTCAGTAGTTTTAAACACTGTGTCCTTTATTTTTATTTTTTTCATAATTTTATTGTATTTACTGTTGATCTTAGCTTTTCATTTAACCAACTATTAAAGGTCCTTCTAGGGACGGGCGTTGCAAATTAGCTTTAGCTATATTCACTGTGATGCAGGCATTAGATTGTTTTGATCTGTTTTTCTTGTATCTGTCCCTGTCAAATAAACAATAAATAAATTAAATAAATAAATGATAAACGAGGTGAAAACTTCTATAGAAAACCTGAAAAATGTTCCTGAAGTTGAAACTTGAAAGGTTTTTAAACTAGAGTTTGTCTGAACTTCACTGGTGAGGATTGGTGGTGCAGAGGTTAGAGAAGACGGGCCTGTGATCGGAAAGTTGCAGGTTCAACTCCTCAGACTGACAACATCAAAATGTGTGCTGAAAAGGTGAAACACCCACACATGCCTCCACCCACATTTGCCCCACTCTGGGCCCTTGAGCAAGGCCCTTAACCCCCACCATCTGTTCCCAAACAGGTCTCTCTTGAAAATGAGTTCTCGTGACTCAGTAACACTACCTGTATAAATAAAGGGTAAATAAATAAATAAATAAATAAATAAATAAATAAATAAATAAATAAATAAATAAATAAATAAATAAATAAATAAAGGGTAAATAAATAAATAAATAATTGTCTTGTTGTAAGTGGTCCTTGTTGGTCTTGGCCATGGTCTAATTAGTCATTAGCTCATCAGTTTGTCAGAGCTAATCTCTCAAAACTGAGGTTGTCCAAATAGCTATCACCAACAGGTAAGATATTGTTTATTACCTTTCCACTGAGCAATTCTTTGAATAACGTCTACAGACCTGGACTCCAGATTCTGTAAATGGCAAATCGAAAACTCAAATCTTTATTTTTACGCTCAGTTTGGTCAGATTGTAAATTCTGACAGCAAATTAGGGATAGTCCCCCCACCTCCACCTCCACCCCACCCCTTGTTAAAGCTCTAGTAACCTCTGCATGGTTCAAGCACCTTAACACCCCCCCCCCCCCCCCCCCCCACATTATGAACCAATGCAAACCCAACACCTCCCAGCTGATTCTTCCTCCCACACGTCACCACGTGGCGGCTGCTCACATTACTTTCACTCCTCTCTACTTTATGATTTTGTTGTTGTTGTTTCAAGGTTCAAGGCTCTTTATTGTCATTCGCATCACATGCGGTACATGAGGTGGAACGAAATCGTGGTCCCAGTTACACCCAAAAATAGCAAAAGAAGAATACAAAGTATAAAAATAAACAGTATACAAGGATCTAAGATACACGCTAAACACTATGTAAAATAATACGGTGTATTAAGCAGCAGCCCGAACATGTTGTTGTTGTTGTTACTCTCTCCTCAGCTGTTATAGTACGTCTAAAACATCTTTAATGGCTGGCCGTGTGCTGAACAGTCATGCGTTTATTCTTCCTGGCTCAAACACCTCTTGTAATTTTCCATTCTCACCAGCTGATACTGACAAGGGCACATTTAAAACGATCCTGTTCCCTTAAGTTTCCGAGCCAGCTCGCCTCGCGTTGAGCCATTTTGGATCTGGCCCGCTCTCCTGAGATGACTTTTCAGCAGCAATATTCAGCTGCTGATACAAGCTGCTGCCTGCCAGACTTGGAAGGTTTAATTTCTAAACCCTCAAACCCCATTTTGGCATTTAAGCCAGCCTTTAGTTCAAATCCAGTCAGTTTGAGATATTA